TCTCCGTCGCGGCAGGATCCGTGTCCCCAGCCCTCGGCGCGTCTGGGACCGCGGGGCGCCCCGGCTGCGACTCCGTCTCCGGCCAGGCGGCGCGGCCGGCCGGCGGGGGCGGCTCCCCCCAGCCAGCGGGCGTCCCGGTCGCGGGCTCCCCGGGCTGCGGCGGCGGCGCTGCCGGGCTCCCAGCGGGACCGGCCAGGTAGAGTCCGGGACACGGGTCACTCAGGTAGACCTGGCGGGCGCTACGCAGCACCAGCGAGACCAGGAGGTTCTTGTGCAGCTTGATGCCGCCGCGCTGGACCCGCGAGTTGTAGATTTTGCCTAGGGAGATGCTGACGATGCGGTGAGCTTCCAGCTTGAACTCCATCCCGCCTCGCCTTCACAGGGCTAGCGCCGAGGGGACGGAGGTGAGCCCCGGCTCTCACGTTCGGAAGCTGGGCGGGGGACAAGGGGGCGTCAACAAGTCCGCCCCTGCGGTGCGCCCTCGGTAGTTGAACGTTCTGAACTGAAATGATTCCGGTAACTCGTCCTGCCGCCTCGACCTCTCCGCACCACACAACCTCACACCTTTGGGTCGGTCGCTAAACTGAAGGCAGCTGGGCCGCCCCCCACTTTATATACGCTCCTCGACCGCCAATCATGAAGGGCCGCCAACCGTTCCGGGGCGGGCCGGCGGGCCCTCGTGCGCCGCAGTCGGCCAATCAGGGGCCGAGGAGGGGCGCCAGGGCCCGTTCGAACGTTAGTCCCGCGGAGTAGGCTCTTAAAGGGGGCGGCGGCGTGCGGCCACCGACAAGTACTGGTTGGGGCCGTTGCTCGATGGCCGTGCTGCGGCGTGGGTCTCAGTGCTGACTGTAGTTAAAGAGTCTGGCTTGTGCGCTGGCTTGCCAGAACAAAGCGAACGAAACCATTCGAACTTTGATTGATTATGGAGATGGACTCTGCTCCGTCATAAAGTCCTGATCCTCTCCTGATCAACCCCGCCCTCCTCCGCCTCGCCACCCCTTCCAAGCCGCGCACACCTGTCAGCTCCGGGCCAACCCTGGCAGAAAAGGAGGTGATGGCAGTACGCGGCAGAGGATACCCTTGGATAACAAACAGTACCGCAAGGTATTTGGCAGATACTATTTTGGACGCGCGCCTCACCCCTTGGAGTCACATTCACACTCTTAGCATATGTCAATTCTAGCCTCAAAGAAAAAAGAGGTTCTATCAAGGAATTGTGTCTAGATACTGAGTTACTGGCTCGCCGCTAAAGTCTTCACGTTCTCTAGATTCTAGAACAAACCTAGTTGCCACATGGATTAAATGGAAGATGTTACACGTTCTCCACAATAGATTTTCTTTAACACAAGGACTGACCAGACCACCCTTCGAAAAATCTAGCAAGTTCTAAGAATACAAATAGAGAAGTCCTGGGTTCCCTTAATGATGTCACAATTTCATTTTGTACCAAGGTAAAAACATAGGGGAAAGGTGTTCCAGAATTTTCTGGCCAGTCAACAGCTTAGTTCATCTACTAATTCTTATAAGTATATGGCATCAGGGCAGAATCACCACAGGATTGCCCAGAGTCCTGAACTGGAAAGGTGGAGAGTCAGTTATAGTTAGTCCCACCTAAGTAAGCTCCAGTACAGATCTGCTGATGACTCTATGTAAGTAACCTCCATACCGTTTAGTTTCATCAACTCTAAAAGGGAGAAATCACATACACATCTGCTTTATTATGCAGAAGATAAATAACTGTCAGCCACAGCTTTCTTGGAATCCACACAGAACAGTTGTCCTGATCCTGCATCATGGTTTGGCCAAGCAATGCATTTCTTTAGGAGAAATACCAGTGAAAGGGGCTTGATCATGGCCAATTCACAATCAGGAGATCTCCAAAGGATGTGGTGGCTCAGTAACATTACCTTTGCCCACAGCTTATTGATGGATACTGAGACACCAGACTATGAGACCTAGAGTTTCTTCCCTCTCGGAATTTTCAGCCCATATACAGAAGGAGATAAAATAGTTACAAAACTTAGCAGAATATGTTGAACAACAACATGAAAAATGTTTCCTCTGTTTTCTCTTTCTTTGAGAGTTATTAGTCACTGTCGAACCATAGTTAAAAGCATAGGCTATAGAGATAAGCTTCCTAGTTTAGAATCCCAGCTCTATCTCTTGCTGTGTGACCTTGGGAAAGATATATCACTTTACTGCGCCTCAGTCTTTTTCATTTGAAAATTGAGGTAATAATAGTGCCTATCTCTTGGAGTTTTTGAGAGGATGAAACAAAGTAACACATGGAAAGCTCTTAGAACAGCACCTGTCATATAGTAAGCTATCAGTGCATGTTAGCTATTAGAACTCATTACCCCTCACATTACCTTGGGGTGGGAGAGAGCCTGGGGAAGGAAGGAACACAGATGGGAGAAAGTTTTTCCAAAGAAGTTGTATTTGAGGAGGGTGTTGAAGACACCCGAGGTAGGATCCACAAGTTCCAAGCAGTAGGAACAGTAGAATCCAGTGTAGAGGACATCTCATTTGGTAGATGTGCCAAACACCTGCCCAAAAGTAAGTAGATAAGTCCAGAAACAGAGGCTGGGACTGCATGATAGTGGGTCATGGATGCCTCAAGAGGAGATAGGGCCCTGGAGACCTACTAAAGGTTGTTGAGTAAGGAACCACAGAATAGATTCTAGAATGGTTGGTGCACAGAAGACCACTTAATGATATAGCTCTTGTGGAAGTTTAAGCAGAGTCATGCAGGCCCGAACTAAGTGGAGGTAGAAAGAATGAAGAAACCGAGAGAAAAAAGGATGTTTAGTGATGATCTGGGATGATCTCACCCACCCGAACAGATTATTGATAGCACCAGCCTCTTGCCGTCTGTGAAGCCTTTCTGACCCATCTACGCTGAGCAGTTCCACCATCCACCACTCTACTCAGCGCACTCATCAACTTCTCCTATCATGCCCAGCGTCCCTCCCAGACTGTGCCCTCTTTGAAGGCAGGAGCCTGTCTCATATTTGTAGCCAGGAGAGAGTGAAAATATGTAACAACTGGTGAGACACGGGCACTAACCATCAGAACAGGGTCCTGGAGGCCCTTACAACGCTAGTGGTTATGGGGGATTCCTGCAGGAGAGGCTGGATGGCAGGAAGGGGAACACTCAAGGAGCCTGGGCCAGAGGTTCTGTCAGCTGGCAAGGAAACATTTCAATATTTTAACAATTAGGGTGGTCATACCAGTACATGAGGAGTGATTATTCACTTGGACGAATGAATCCCTAATAATATTGTCTGCCAGGCACTGTGCTAGTCACTTTACATGCATTATTTAACATCCTTATAAAGTTTTGAAAGTAGATATCATTATCTCCATTTTAAGATGAGGAAACTAGGACTCTGAGAGGTTAAATCATTTCCCCAAAGTCATACAGCTATAGGTGGAGAGGGTGGGATTCAACTCCAAACCTATTTAAAGTTTGAGTGTGGAGCTCTGGGGCTAGATTGCCTGGCTTCACCTCTTACTTGTTGTGTGACCTTAGGAAAGTTATTCAGCCTCTAGGTAAATGAGAAAACCATGTCCTTGTTTTGTGACATGGGCAAGTTGTTTAACATCTCTGTGCCCAAGTCTCCTGTGTAAAATGGGAATAATAAAAATAATTAAATTGCTTACTACAGCCCCTAGCACCATATAAGCACTTATAAAGTCTTACTTACTGGTGTTGTTATGGTTATTGTTGTTATTACACTAATGCCTGGCACAGTACTGAATGCATAGTAGGTACACTGTTAGAACTTGTTGAATTGTGAATGCTTTTTCTACTATACCACATAATAGGCACTTAATAAATGTCTACTGCCTTGGAGTTGTTCATTATCACTATTATTATCAGGATTTCCTGTAATCTGAGCCAAGAAAATGGAACCTTTAGAATTCACCTCTGGAAGGCCTGAACTGTTATGATCAGGAAAACTTCACCTCCACCTACCAAAAACAGTGGAAAGACCCAAAGCATATTCTTCTAAGCTTTGGCGAGCAAGTAACTGAGTTAGAATTTGCTATCATCAAGCTTTGAGACTTTCTGTTAGGGAAAAAAAAAGTCGGTAGCAGGATTAGAGACCCTAGGGTGTCAGAAGAATAGAGGAAGCAACTGCTCTGGATGAAGTGGCCAGAGCACCTTCATCAGATCTGTTCTGTCCTTCCACCCCCATCTCTTCTGCTGGGCATGGGCAGATTAGTACAATAAGTGTTAGCCAATCCTGTCTGAGGCCACTTAGGCAGGCACTGTCTGGGCTCAAGCCTGAGGGTTCCTCTCAACACAGGGCTAGTCTGCCCACTCCTGTTGACTTTATTTCCCCCTTGTTTGCATGATGAATTGAAGGCTAAGTATTATTATCAGATGATTAAAGAGCTAATATCACCCTTAAATTGAGTCTAGTCTGTAAAAGAACAATGCAAACCCACTATAGATTATGTGCATAATAGCTATGTGAGAAGTAACAATTAGTGAGAAGGGGGTAGGTGAAAGATAAATAAGTTATCTGCACTGTTTCTACCTTTCAATACTGGGACATTTGGAATATTTTGTTTATCTATTTATTTTTGGGGGGGTCAAATTCGCTTATGCAATTTAAGAATTGTTTGTTCGACATCCTGAATTCTTTAGGGGAAAACCTCTATAAAAATACATTATTAGGGCCGGCCCGGTGGCGCACTGCGCTAGTGCGTCGCTTGGGAAGCGCGGCAGCGCTCCCGCCGAGGGTTCGGATCCCACATACAGACCGGTTCCCGCTCACTGGCTGAGCNTGTGCATAATAGCTATGTGAGAAGTAACAATTAGTGAGAAGGGGGTAGGTGAAAGATAAATAAGTTATCTGCACTGTTTCTATCTTTCAATACTGGGACATTTGGAATATTTTATTTATTTATTTATTTTTTGGGGGGTCAAATTCGCTTATGGATTTAAGAATTATTTGTTTGACATCCTGAATTCTTTAGGGGAAAACCTCTATAAAAATACATTATTAGCACTTTATGTAAGCAATACTCTTTCTCTTCTGATGACACATAAATCCACTTTTTAATTCATTCATTTTCTCTCTCACTAATATGGCATATTTTACATCTTTTTTCTCTTGGCTGTTTGATTTTTCTATAGAATTTCTTTATCTTCAAATAGCATTTGATTAGGGATGGACACCAAAACCTGACTTTTCCCCTCCTCCCCATTTCCCTTCCTAAACTACTATAACCCCACCCTTCTTCATGTCCTAAATTTTGTGTGTTTGCTTATAGAAACTATTTTTCATACCCTGCCTCCTTTAAGACTCCTGAGGAAAACAAATTCCTCAATAAGTAGAGCGATCAAACTCA